AAAAAAGGAAAAAAGAACATTTAATGTCCCTCTATCCATTTCATTGCGATCCAATTTCAGTCATTAAAACGGAGATCAATTAACAACTGACAATATCGATATTCTACTGACACCTCGACAATATTGCTCGTTCAGATTTACGAGCCCCATTTACGCCATCGCGAATTGCCAGCCGTATTAATTTGTCAAATCGATAAAACATTCCAACTTACCACCAATTGCGATATCTCTTTCTCTCTACGTAAAAAAGGAATGTGATGTTTTGAGGAAAAATTGTATCTATTTTGTTCTCCATTTAGATTTCTTTTTGAATTGTTTCTAGAGAAATTTGTTATTTAATACGACAAGATTTATACTTGAATTTTATTTATCATCATATATATTTATTTATACTTAAATTTTTGTTCTGTACAATTTTATTATGTGTGTTATTGTGTATTGTTTATATTTGAAATTTATAAAAATTATAACTATAATTCGTGATGTATTATATTTAAGAATAAGTGAATATAATAAAAAGTTTAAAATATATACAGTGTCCAAATTGCAAAATATACGATTAAAATTAGATTTTTAAAATTGCTGAAACAGGAAATCAGAGTCGTTCTTCTGACAAAAAAAGGGACGTTCGGAAAAACACATGATGTTTATAGTTTTATGAAAAATTTCTTAAATAAATTGAATTTTTAATCCTTACATATATAAATATAATATAAAAATTATAATGAAAATGATACATTATAATATGACATTATCTAACGAATATAAATGTAATAATTTACTTCGAACTGATAAATAAAAATAAATTTTGCAGCACAGAAATATAACTGAGAATTACATAAATTTTTCAATGATAAAAATTATATTAATACGTAATACGATTATTAATTTAAAATTAAATAGAACCACCATGGCTCCAATCAGTTCACTTCAGTGTTAAAATCGTGAAAAATCATTCTCGTATTCAGCTCTAGCGACCAACAATACGCAAAGATTTTTCAGTCCAAAAATCAATAAAAACATCGTATTTTGTCCCTCAATTTTTTGTCTTGTCAATTTCTAATTGTATGTTACATTGTAATTTTTGTTCCATTTTAAACCAACGTTCGAAATAACATAATGATCTGTAGACGAGCAGACATCTGTTTATCCTTTTACATTACACGTTTGTTCATATCGATTGCCTTGATACAAATTCGATGCTTTAGTTATTAGTAATTCTGATATTAAATTCACGGGTTCAAACGCTTAAGCAGTATTATTATACACTGTTGTACAATACTTTCAACGTTATTGAATTTCAAGCCAATCTTCATCATTCTCGTAATCCTACGCAGTAGTTGCGAATAATTATCAGGTTAGGAAAGTTGCAAGGTTTCATACTTTAACAGAAAAGTGAACTATAGGAGATAATTCCTTTCACAGTTTTTCGATCGAGAGTAAAGATCTTATTTCGCAGTTTTTTAATCTGAGCAAAGATCATTTTGCAGTTCATTATTACAGATAAAAAAGTATGATTATTTCTAAATAGACTGCGAAAATCTTTGTGCAACTAGAAATTAGAAAAATGGTGACCAAGTGGAAATTTTTGCGAATTTTGTGCGTTTTCTGAATTTTTGCACACTTAAATTTTCATCAAATACGTAAAACTCCGCAGTCTGGCCATAAAACCGCACTATGTAGTTATGAATAAATAGTGGGCAGAAGAAAATTTAGCACATCGAAAGTATTTGATTTATAATAACAACAAAAATAATACGTAATAATTCAAAGCATTTATTTCGCTAAAATAAATATCACGTCTCGTATCAAAGCATATCACGAAGCACATTACATGGCGAAATATTGTACTTTTTCCGACTGAGAGTTATTATTGAGTTAATCCCAAAGTGAATTCATAAGGCGTGCACCATTCATAACAAGCATCACATAGAAGTCCTTTTAATGAACTTATAATTATCCACACCACTGTGTATTTCTTCTTTCTCCATTGACACTCATGGCAGCTCATGATATTGAAAAAGACATGTAAACTTAATATTTATGAATCGTTGGAATAGATCATAAGAATGATTAATGAGAATGGTATCATGGTGTATGTAAATTGAACAATTGTGAATCTTGTGAACGATTAACTCTTAATACTTTGATTAACAATAAGAAATCATTGTACACTCTTTTTTTACGAATCAGCAATTGATATTTTTTTTTCACCAAGTGCAAAATTCACAGGATATTTCATTTTCACTTCAATTTTAAAAAGGTTCTATGTAAAGAACAGTTTCCAATAATGAAAGTTTCACTTTAACCGAAATTAATTTTTTTTCTCTCTCCTTTATATTGTGAATATAACAATTTATTCATGAGTGTAATAATCTGTGTAACATCGAGCAGAATCAAATATTGATGTATTCCTATCATTAATACTAGATTTATATTTTTCCGTTTAT